CAAATTAACCGCCACAATTAGCGATGATCTAACGGTTGACGTCACGCCTCACTTAAGGCTAGTCAACGCCAAGAATTGAGGAAACGCAAACTGCAAGCATTATGTCTTTATTGGAAGATAATTCTATAAACAGATTACTAGATATCGTGTATCGGTATTATTTAATAGCAGTTTTTCCACATAGTGAAGTTATGTATAGTCGTATTGCGTCAATGAATGTCGCTATTTGACTGGCCTGTTGATCCAGTGGTAAGTGATCCTGCCTACTGAGTTAGAGATCGTGGGTTTGATTACTAACCAGAACAAATAATCGTGATTATATCAATAATAATTAGTATTATATAAATTTATTTATCAGTAGTTTGGTTACCATTGTACAAGCTCTGTCTAGTTTAGGATCAAACAGCAGAGATGTGTAAGGTAATAAGTACCTTACTGTTCCTTTGGACTGTGGGACTTTACGAACATACATGAAACGGACCAAAAGAACACCCAGACTCAGAACAACAATGTGTGATCAACAAATTGTTGTGTGATCCAACTATGTGGGGATCGAACTCACAACACTCAGCGCAGTAGGAAGCGGCGAGGTGGCCGCTTAAACCACCACACCATCCGTGCAGTCTTTATTTATCATGAATGACTTTTAAGACAATGCCTACGCTATTAACAATTTCTGTATACCTGTGTATCTCTATAATCATGTAAACAATGGACACAAGACACGAAGACTTGGGATAACTACATCATCTATGTAAAACACACAAGTTTTTGTTCCGTATCGAGAATCAAACGACATTTTTCTGTTAGCAAATAAGGTCACCAGAGCTCCTGTATATAAATAGAGGGGATACAGCGTAGTGATAACACATTGATGAGTTACTGGTGTTATCTCAGATATTGACAGGTATCGCTCTCTGGCTCAGTTACAGCTTTGAACGTAGTACATGTAGTGTATCTGCCCGGCAGGCTTAAGACACATCTTCTGAGTTTTTACTGCTTACGAATACTGCAATTTTAAATGTTAATTGGTTCTCTGAAGGTCCATTGTCGAATGATTGACAACTCAAACATTAATCATCAATCCCATGCAAAAACTTCACAATAGATTTTACCATACTAGACGTCCTCTTAACTCAATTACATGATAAATTCTTACACAATACGACCACGGATTTTGTATTCTATTATCGTGGTATTAAAACCCAAATTACAACTACGAATATGCATAATATATTGTAAAGGATGCTTATAAGTTATCGAAGAATAACAAACTGTATTAGAAGGAGTTTAGAGTTCAATTCATAAATAATTCCAGGACGAAGGGCTTCAACGAACGTCGATTGGGCTTCGACCCGCTTCCAAAACTGCAAGTTAATAAGTGAGTGTCAGCAGAACAGGTTGGTTAAAAATAGCATGAAGTAAAATGAACTAATTTGTATCCACAATGCACTCCCACGACTACTGAACAAAAATTTATATTCACCATTTGTAAACCAATTTAATTTATTTTTTTATAGATATGTTTGTACTCAAATTACAGGTTTTACAACAAATACAACTGCAAATAAATTTTGGGATGATGAATACATAGGACAGTCGCATTGAAGGCTGGTTTTGTGTGTTGTGTGGTGTTTTAAAGGTTCAGTACCTCAAAAGGAAAAAACGGAACCCTTATAGGATCACTTTGTTGTCCGTGATATCAACAACATTGCCATACCTGGAAAATTAAATATATCATTTCTTACAAATTTAAAATGCACTGTTTACCAAACTGTTACAAAGACGTAGACGACATTTGTATCAGTGACATGACATTGAGAGATATTCCATCGACAGTCTATGGATACAATATTAAACTAGCAGAACTGAGGCGTAGATAGGTCACTTGATGGAAAGTGACTATCGCAGTTCATAGACACCTACAACAAGCTATCGGTCTTTGAGATGGGAGCATGGGACTTCGTAAGAGTAATACACATCTAGACCAGTACCATTAATGCCACAATCAATCGAAACATAGAATTTATATTCTTAATCTTTCATATAAAAATATTCTGTAATAACTATGAACCATGTCCTATACGAGTATGAACAATTTTATTATACAATGCGATATTTTATAGCCAGTTCAAAACAATATCTAAAGTCAAGGAATTTCTTTTCAAAGAAAACGTTAAACAACTTTTATACATGTTTGATAAACAGTTAAATGGTGTTGATTGTTTCTTCTACGTTCATATTGAATTTCTGCATAACGCGATATTTTGAATCACAAAAGGTGATGTCAAACACGATATACTTAATGCAGCATCGATGTCTGTTTCAACCGCTCTGTACCACTCCTTAAATTTTACTGATGAATCTTTATAACTTCATATTTTATCATCAGCGTTTCGCATCTCCAAGATACCATGGAGAACTTTTTAGGTTGCTCTCTCTCTAGAAATTCTTGTTTTTCCTAAACGTATTTTGGATCAGTCAAAGGCCAAAGGTGCTAGGGAATGGCTAAACGAGGCTTCACAAAAGATTATTTTAGGAATTGATAAGATTTAATACTTCTCCAAAGACATATTGCCATCTTTTTTGCAATAGAATGACGTAGCATCATTAAGTAAAAACGACAAATTCGTTCCCTTATAGGAACTGCCAGCAAAAGAATCAAGTACCATCCAAAATTAGCAAGTACGAGACAATGCGGGCCAACTCCGTGAGTCAGTCAACGGTCACACTATTTATATATCGACTTCCGGAGTTCACGCAACGTGCATATCAATATAAGTGGCTTTGATGAACCGGATAATTTAGAAATATTTCACATGGTATTCAGATAATGATTTATATACAGGAATATGTGACGACCCTCCAGTAACGCTGTTGCTAGAATTCAGGTAACTTTTATAGATTTTTCATGGTATAGGGGTCACCTGATGGTAAGTAAATACCGCTAGTCATTCTGCTACTTAACAGTCACAATGCTGTTAACAGTCCTAGAGTGAAAAATTTGGGGGGACCAAGAGTTGGGTATCTGGTAACCTCGCTCATTTGCTGCAACGAATTGCTTGACAACAGTTTTCTATGAAGCCGTGATATTATTCCAGTTAAGACAGTCTATATGTGCCGAAGCATGGCTAATCTACAATTACTTTTTTTTCACTTTTCAAAAATTTGGATCTACAAAAAGTATGGACTAGAAATCTTTGTTTATAAGTCTGTCTAAGTAATTAACGACTATCCCATTTTCAGTTGGCAATGCAATACTGAACATTGTGGAACATAATAAATATCACTCACTTACAAGTAGGTTCTAGTAACACAGAAACGTCAGTCTGTTAGACTGTTGGCCGAGTTATCAATTCATGTGAATGGCCACGGATCGCATACCTCTGATCGACGATTAGCGCCGCAGCTATGGGTCATGGATAATGTAGGAATGCGTATAAAGAACGCGCGCTATATATTAAATCAAACGCGCTGTTTTTACAGCGATTTGAGTTTCTCGTCAGGATACGTGATTTCAAACTAAAGAAAGCCTGGTTTTGGCTAAAAACTTGAGCTTTAAATCAAAAGCTATTCAGGGCAGTAATAGAAGCAGGAAATTGGTAAGATATAAGAGTAAAGGAACATAATATAAAAAGAAAAAAAACATTGCTTAAAAGAAAAAAAAACAATTAAGAATGATACTGTAAAGAGAATTCAGTGAAAAATAACTCTTTGATTAGGCAAAACTAGATCATAATCTTATTGGATTAGGAAATAATATTAAGGTCAACATCTGGACTTAAAACGTGAGATTTTATTAATGTGCTCAGTTTAAAGGAGTTACGAAACGTGACTGAATATACAATGCAAATAATTAATAATCTAGTAATATTGCCCACAGACATATGTACATACAAACACTTGCGTCTATTAAGCATGTTAAACGCCCGCATTTTTCCGAATATAATTTTAATCCTACTCAAGTAACAGGGGGCAAACTGCCGTCAAATAGGCACTTTAGGCAACCGTGTGGTAAGGGATTAAGAAGACGGCGTGTCACCACCCCTATTCATCCCATGGGTGTCGTAAGAGACGATTAAGGGAGTGAACTATGCAGGTGTTGTCCTGCACTGCAAAGAGAAGGAAAACTTGACACATACCCTATATCAACCCGTCTGGCCAACGTGGTATAGAAGGCCAAAACCGCCTTTCTAAGGAGAGGCCTATGTCTTACAGTGGATTATTAAAGGCTGATAATGTGATGATTTGAGGCACATTAGGAATTAGATGGGAAAGTAGGTAGGAAGGGAATGCAACTGCAGGAAAGGGATATTGCTTATACGTAGTTCCTATAATAGTATAGTATTCTTATGGCAATTGTGTGTATGTTTACGAAACATAATTTTATGGTAATATTATGTTACGAAGTATGAAAAGGCAATTATATTTTGCAAGACGATTTAAAACTTTTTTTTTATATTTTGTTTTAACAAGTTGAGGATAAACCCAGAACAGGCTCAGATGTTTCGAAAGTAAAGTTACATTGAATGGTTAGAACAAAACAAGAAGAATAGTGAGATAGGTACGTTGCCTGGCACCGAGTGGACAGCTGGCACTTGAACGTAAGGTCAAGCCTTATCAACGGACGCATAGATAAGGACACATTGTCCAACATTTATAGCTACAGAGAAATGAAAGCATCGATAGCTTCATTCTTTATTTCAAATACAAGCAGTTAAGTGATAACGAGAAAAAAACAATAACAAAACCATGGTAACATAAAAAAAATCAGGGGTAAAGTATTGGATTTGAAATTAATATTGATTATCGCAAAATATGGTAGACAATACGATGTATACTAGTCCTTGACGGAAAAAGGCTCGGAGGAAAACTTATATTTAGCTCATTGGTCGTAATAGATGGAGATACGTAATCAACAATACAATAGTTAATTTGGTAATAATTATGCATAATCTGTTAAGTTTCTCATTTAAATAAGAATGGAAATAAAGACTTACCTCGAGTTCCACTGAAGAGCCAAGAGTTATGTTTCACTGAATCAGAATTCTTTTTCTTAACTACTGGTGTCTGTTCAACAATACTAGCTTGCCTGCTCCTCCCAGCTGATGGAGCCTTCACACTCTTCTTCTTTCCCTTTTTCAGGGTTCCACTGTGAGATTTTCTTAAAGTGCTGACTTTTAAAGACTGACTTTTGCCTCTCACTTTACTTTTACTTCGAGACGTCTGTCTACTTAACCTTCTCCTGTGTTCTGCTAGCTGCTTAGGAGTAGGTGGTTCATCTTCTGAATCGGTCTCAACTGGAGGCTGTGGTCTCGCCTCAGATAAAGACGCGAAACGTCTTTCTCCTTCTAGGAACAGTTTTGTATAGTTTAATATTTCATCCAGAGTTAATATTTTATCATCTTCTGCAACTGATTCAACGGGTTTAGTAGATGTAGGAGTCTTCTTCCGTCTAAAAAAGCCAAGACCAGATACAGAGGAAGTTTTACTGGTTTTTCTGGTTTTGGGAGCTTCGTTTGTACTACTTTTTCTGCTATTAGGTTGAGGCTTCTCTTCCTTTTTGCTATTTTTTCGTATCTGATCAAGTTTCATCGATGACCCATGTATTGATTCACGATCTTCCTCACTCCAGAGGCTCTCTCTTGACTTTTTCTTGTCACAATTTTTTTCAAGCTCCTTTTTTGCAGATTCAAACCATTCATCTCCCAAATTTCTTACTATTTCTAACGGATTAGATAATGACATTGTTTTTCTGTGCGTTTTTTTAATTTTCGCGCAATCTACTTCCTCATCTGTGACCGCTAGTTTAAGAGATTCCTTGCTGATTGTCGGAGTTTTGCCGAGCCTCGGCAGGGCGTCGTCGCTAGCCGATATAGCGTCGCTGTGACCATCCGCCGACTCATACAAAGACTCGTCGCTTTCATCTCGTCTTTCTGTTGAAATTGGATTACGTCAGATCAAAATACCTTGCCGCCGTTTTAAAGAATTCCTTGCTATTAATTACATAGATTATCGACTTTTTTTTAGCAATTACTGAAATTAACGATAATCAGTTAGCAATCAAAGCAAGATGTCTGTACGGTATAAAAAGTAAAACAATAACCTCATTAGAGGACAATAAATGTTGTTTTCCGATTGATTGTAGTCTGCGACGATGTAAAGACTTTGGTGAGTCATACCGCGACGGTTGATCGCGGCTTCACGGACGTTTTTTGAATTATTAATAACACAAATTCAGATGAAGTTGTTCTGGTATTAAGTACATCATGGTGGAGGCGGATAAAGACGCATTGTACAACATTCGAGTATTCGAAACAGATTTACGCGTATCCTAATCTGAAGACGTTATGTTTTATGTGTTACGTTGTTTTTTGAGAACAGTTATGAATAAAGTACTTAACTGCTGTTACGTTTGTGTTAGAGACTCGATATCATAAATTTTATAAGTTAAGACCAATAATAACTTTCAAAAAGTCTTAGCTTATTGAAAGTTTTATAAAACTATAGAATTTCTGACTTCTATTCACGAGAGAAAGAGGATATTTAACTACATTACTATAAGAATCTTCATTATTTTCTTTTAAAAGTTGTTTTACCACACTTTTATCTATTTAAGTACACGATAAATTAAACACCTTACACAACTTGGATAGGCTCTGCACATCACTGCAGGTAACGGTGTATTATCTATATTCTCTGGTATTTATGATCGGTGTAAATCTAACGCCGGTATACCGTAATCTTGGAGCTTACGTAAAGAAAACACCGGTGCAGTAGACGGCTATTACGCAAGGTTTGAAAATAATTAAGATGTTTCAGGTTATTTGTATTAGTTACCTTGACGATTGTGCAATAGCTCAAAAATATTTTAAACATACAATGTCATCTACTTTTGCGGTGTAAACAAATATTATTAGAGTTTATTAACTTTGGCAATAATCTCTCAAGAGCTGGCATTTCTGCACTTGGAAACGAAGTAACAAAGTATTTAATATTAATAGCAGACCAGAATTTGCTAATTCAAATACGTAATGAATATTAAAGGAAATTTACACGGCTTTCGACGGAGATCGGCATAAGCCGAAACATTATTAACATGACCTTAAATTTATACCTATTTGTGAATATTTTATGATTAATATTTTCCCTTCAAAGATGAAGACGAGGTGCTTTACCGTATATTCACCGTAAACATAAATTTTAAGTATTTTGGTGGTATTTAACGGTTTGAATTATCAAGATTTACGATTCTAATTAAAAAAAATATGTTTTCTCAAATATCTTTAAAGACAGAATTTATTCTTTGAAACATGATCGTGTATGTATAATCGAAGTATAAACAAATATAGATATGTTAATTAACGAGTGGACCTACGAATATTAACTAGGTTACGTTAAAACAGGTTAGTAGGACTGCGCTAAATAACTTTGGTGATCGCGTGCTATTTGACAATGTCATTATACTAATTAATGTAATGTTTTTGGTACAAACATTAGTTATATATAACGCCAGAACTTCTTTACAGACAATTTATTAAACTGGAAATTATTGTATCATTGTCTGTGTTTAATGAATTTAAAAAAATGCTTAATGATTTTACTTTTCTGTAAGTTGAGGACAAATTAAAAGCTTTTCAGCGGGATTACTACGAGTGTAATTCGAGATTTTATTTGCCGCGCATTGCCTCAAAAAGAACCGGATTCTGTCAAGTTCTATTACATATTCATAGTTCATTATGATTTTAAATTATCCATTTTTCTTTACTTTATTATTCAAGTATATTACGTGAATTATTCAAACAAAAAACGCTAAAACAACGCTAAAAGATTACTCAAATCACGTCACTTTTGATTATTATTTATAGCCCGCTGAAGTTATTGTTACGAAAATACCGATACCGCATACCCAGACGTATTTATTTATTATGGCAAGAAATTCTTTAAAGGATAATTTATAGCAATTTCATACAAACCTATAGACACAGTGTCTAATATATCTGAGTATCTTCTCCTCTCTTTATCACTCTCGGTCGACGTTTCCCTCTCACTGGATTCTCTCGTCGGCTTCAGTAGTATTGGCTTCTTTCTTCTCAACTTGCCTACGACACCATTTTCCGCAGGTTTGTCGACGACCTGCTTCGGTTCTCTCTTGAACCACATCATCTGTCCGACCATTAATTCACTATATAAAGTTTTTTTTTTTTCACTTTGCCTTTTCACTTACATTTGGTACAGTAACGTCACTATTCCGTACTCGCATTTGTCATTTTTGACACTGACACTTCACTAGATTCTGGATGACGTCCAACTTGAAAATGTAGAATTAATCAATTATTGTGACGTTGTTGGCAAGGAACGAAAGTTATAAATACATACATTTGTTTATAATTATCGTCAGTTTAGCATAGTCTGTAATTATAACATATATTACGAGTCTCAGAGTCCAGCATTGCTCGTATAGTTAAATACAATGTGTTTTATTTGTGATGAAATTGGTTAATCAATTACACGCTATTCCGTAGCATATTTTTTGTTTAATATCGTAGCTTGGTGGTTGTTTTGTGTTATGTACATTCTGTGGCCAGTATTGACAACAAGATTAAAAGGTATAACTGATATAAAGTATATTCTAAAAAAACGCGACGAAATGATTACGTTTATAAAATGATAGGAAGTGTTAAATGATGAGATTCAACATATAGTAAATGTGACATGATTTAATAAAAAGTGTATCCACCATTCATCGTGAAGTCCAGAGATAAATATTTAAGGTTTAGTTTAGAGGTTTACTTAGATATTACCTACTACGAATTCGCACATTATAAAATTACCCTATCAATCTTCTAGAGGCTGACACACAAACGTTCTTACTATTTGTAAACAGGATAAGATTGCTGATTGAGAGAAAAATTGGCAAAGACTAAAAATAACGGGTTTACCATACATAAATATATTTCGTCCAAGAATCAAATACGTTGTAGAGCAATCAATTTCCCGCTTCCGTAGCTAACAAACGTCACAGTACGTGGTTCGACTGTATCCTGAGCATCGGAGATTTATTTCTATAACCATGGTCAAATCCTTGGTCAACGACTTTTGTGTTTATTTGATTTTCGTTGTGCTGAATACTAATTATACCTAAGTACAGTCGGCGCGATATAAGTGATCGGTATGCAATGAACCGTGTTTTTATAAATGTATTGAGGAAGTGGCATTTAATGTAATTAGATTTAGATTTAACAAGGGCATAGATTATCTAGTTTAAGCGGTCTATAAAAAAATCTTATATTGTTATGTATGATGAAGATTTTAAATTTTCGATTTCTTTACTAAATGTCATCAATAAATGGGATGTTCGTATGACATATAAATGTAAATGACACAATTTTTTTAATTACTTCTGTCGTCTTAAAGATCGGAGTAAAAGAAAAATCTAGCTTAACTTCTAAAATCGTGTGGTGAAGGATTAAGAATACAAAGTGTCACCACCCACCCTATCCATCCCGTGGGTGTCGTAAGAGCCGACTAAAGAAGCAAACTGTGCAAAAAACAACGCTGCAAAAAGAAGGCAAACTCGAAACAAACCCTATACCAATCCGTCTGGCCAACGTGGTATAGTAGGCCAAAACCTCTAATTTAAGGAGAGGCATATGTCCACCAGTGGGCTGTAAACAAAAAATCTAACAACCTAAATTATATGTTTAAGCTACACAATATCAGAGCAGTAAAAAGGTACTTTTCTAAATTAGTCAAGCCCTTCAAACATTTGAAATATTTAGACTAGACTTCCTTCCAACCAAACCGTACAACTTACAACAATAACAGGAGTACAAAGCGGCCATTATTAACAAACATTGGCACATACCTACGGATATATATCGGCAAATGACTCGTTATATCACAATCAAACTATATTCATATGTATAGTGCGACATTTCAATGCCAAAGAGCATAACAGAATACAAGAAAAATGTGGCTAAAATGAAAGATTTAGCAACATATCATTCGTTGGGGTGAACGACCCACCTTATGTATTACACAGATAAGTTTAAGTAGATTTTAATGTCAAGAAACATGTGTTTTCGGTATTCCATATAGCTGATTACATTAACCAAGAAGGTCAATTCTCGTGATAAAACTCGTTCAAAATTCAGTACCTCAATCTCACAAATGTCATAAAAGTTATTCTCGTAATAAAGTAGGTATTATAAGCAGAATGGCGATTTAACATTCAGTCACAATAAGATATAATCACATTACAGTTAACGTTGGATGTTTAATACTTTAATACAAAAATAAATTCTATGACATTTGTGAGATTAAGAGTAAATTGGAATTAAATTTTGAACGTATTTTTATTACGAGAAATGACCTTCAAGTGATTTATTGAACTATAAGGAGCGTATAATGAATTCGACTGCAATCGCGGATGACGTAGTCGCTCTGTGCAAAGGATTGGATCTGTGTTTATGTGTGAACATACTTAATGTTCATATTAAAGTAAAGTATTTTTAAGAGTGTCACAGAACGCATTGTACACGATATGCCTAATTTAAATGTATCAAGCTGTAAAATTGACCGACAAAATAGTTTTGCAAGCGTTCGTAACAGATAACCATCAAAATGACCTAATATGTATTTATTTATACTTACTGTACTTTTATGCAAGTACACATCTTTGCAACAACATTGGTTACCTCTATACTAAAGTTCTCCTTAAATGACTGCAACGTCAAAAGCATGATTATTAACGAAACAATGACACCGTTACTTAAATCTCTTCCCCTATCTATAGGGCATGCTCGTGCGCACCGGAAACGTCGCGAGGATGCGGCCTCCGCGCTTCCGCTCAGCGCAAAGCTCGATTGACTAATGTTCCACGAACGTCCTTATATTGCGCGATTTGACTATACCGGTGTGTGTGTGTGTGTGTGTGTGGAATTAGTCGTTGTTAGATTGTGCGAAATAAATATTAAAATACGACTACCATAACTGTTTTATAAGCTTTTTTGTCTCTTCTGGGGAGACTTATTTATTATTGAATGTTAACTTAATCTGGTATTTTCTTTTGTTGCACAGCATTTTTTTTCTTCTATGCAATTAACCGTAATGTATGTTTTTATACTGAGATCTAATTATATAATTAATGCAGCGCAAAAGGTTAAAATTGGCAATTATATTTAGATTTATTTCTTAACTAACACTTATTATGATGATTATATACATGCTATACTCGCTCTCTTCAACGTCCTTTAATAGTCTACTGCTGGGCATAGGCCTTTCTTTAGAAAGGAGGTTTGGGCCTACTATATCACGCTGGCGAGATGGGTTGGTATATGGTCTGTATCAAGTTTTTCCTTGAAGGAAAAACTTGGACAACATCCGGCGTAGTTTGGTCCGTTAGTCGCCTCTTACGACACCACCGGGGTGAATTGGGGTGGTGACACTCTGTATTCTTAATCCGCCACCACTCTAGCAGTATTTATTACACATTTGCCTTCATCCTTTATTATAACCAAGGCATGCACCCCTAACTCCACTTAAAAAACCACATAGCTAAGTATAAAAAACACGAAGATAAATTAAACTCGCTTTTTAATTTCTGCAACCGCTTCACTTCCTAACCCCCCTCTTCAACCCCCTATGCGGCTAGACGGATATTAAAAGCACAAACCGCATTACCAGACATGGGTGGAAGGTGGAGGGGGCAGGGAGGCATCTGCTAACTGAGATATGAGTTAAATGGAAAGCCTAGGGGTGTTCAGACGGCAACTTTTAGTAGAACTAATATTGTTAAGTCTAATTAACTTTGCCTGTCTACCTATATCAATTACAAAGAATGTTGGAGAACAGAATTTACTAGCTGACCCGGCAAACGTTGTTTTGCCATACACATTATTTCTAGGAAATATTGAAAAGAAAATTTAGGGGAGGGTCACCCTTGTCATTTAGGGGTATGGAAAATAGATGTTGGCCGATTATCAGACCTACCCGATGTGCACACAAAATTTAATAAAAGCGGTTTAGTAAAGTTTACGGAGGAGTATGGTAAATTAACATTGTGAGACGAGAATTTTATATATAAGATACAACTTATTTTGTAAAACTTTGATATTGCCAGATCATAGGCATCGGAAATCGTTTACTTCGATGTTACTGTGATAACTTGAGGTAATTTTTCTTATCGCCGAAGATAGAATATCGATATCATTACCACACCATGCTTAAGAAATTTAAATGAATATCTACAATGAGAATAATCTCACCTAACAAAAAATCTTGTTTTATTGGTCTAACTGGACTTTTTCTACAAGACATAAATTCAGTTTAAAAACTTTATGTAGATATCATATTAACGAAATGAAATGCTTTACACTAATTATTTATTACACGTGCCTTCAGCAATAAAAACCGTACCATGACGGTCATAGCTTTATAACGTGCATTTCTCATTAAAAGTTAGTAATGTGGTATTTTGTAGAATATTCATGAGTTATATTATCTTGATAGGCATAAGTTACGTTTGAGTAAATAGAAAATGAGCACACAAATTTTTTTCTATACGCGTTTAATGTGCAAAACAAATAAACGCTTTTTTAGGCAAAAAAAATTTGATACTAGTTGTACTCTGTTTCTCCATCCGAAAGTTTCGACGTCTCTTACTCTAGCCCTATCAATTTTCTGTACCCTACTTTATCTTCTTCCTTTGTCGTCTGAAATCGAATAAAATGAGGTACTAATCTCTGATAAGACCGGCTTCAGGCGGACGGCTATTTACAGTTTTGGCCTAAAAGGAACTAGCCGGAAGAAACTATTTGGAATATTGCGCCGACCCCAAATAGAATTAGAAATAGGATAGAAAAAATTATGATACTGACGTAAATTTTAAATAAGAATCACGCGTCAATAATGTGACATACCGCTGACGAAATTTATACAGATTTTTTGAAGGAAAACTAACTAGATTAATTGCATGAATATAAAAACTAAGTGATCACCTCAATAATACGTGTAGTACATTAAAAACAGAAGTCGATCAATGAACCAAGAGGAGTTTCTTGAAAACACCTTCGTTTACATTACACATTACAACGTTCGATTAACGTAAGCTTTGCGAGCAACGAAAACGCGTTTTCTTTCAACAAGTACAAAAACAGTGCGTC